AACAACGTATTTCCAGGAAGATGTACACATTTTCTAAAATTATGCGAATGCAGTCCGTCTCTGTTTCTTAGAAGCTCCGGGAAAAGCCCGAAGCGGGATCACAGAATGCTATATCCCGGCATTCCCTAGCCTGCAAATAGATGTGTGTGGAGCTGTCCCTGCCTCTCTTGTCTCGTCGGTGGTGCTCAGCCAAGAGTGACCCGCAGCTCGGATGCTTCCTTCGATGTTGATGTCACAGGCCGACAAGTGCTTTTGTTTTCCCTGCCCGTACCGAGCGCTCAGTCAATACGAGGCTTTGCGAGACTCGATCGAAAAATACCTGTCACGACTCTCTCTGCTCTTTAGAAGCAGCAGCGAGATTGAACAAAGGCAGAAGAAGCGCTGTCGTCTCTTGTGCCAGTTGTAATTCCGCACTGCCTTTTTTTGTTCCGGCCCGCCACATTTCATGTTCCGTTTTATTTTATGTTTTCCCCTGGCGTCGCCGTTCAGGAATTATCTTTCTTTTTTTTCTCACTGTGTTTCTTTGTTCTTTGCTCAACGACAGCCTTGCCCGCTACTTGTCTCCCAAAAGAAGTTTTTTCTATGTCAGCTTCTCTTCGGCACTTTATCATGCAGCTACACAAAAGGAATATCTTTATTGTCTTTTTGGTCAAGCTTGCTTTATATTTTATGACCCCCAGCAAATAACAATTGTGCCATTGAAGAGTATGTTTGCTCTTTTTGTAGATCATAATATTTTTTTTGAAAACCTATGGTAAATATAGCCAAAATTAACGTTGCTCATGGCCTCTGCCCTAGAAAATGGGCAAGAACAGAGGGGTCAAGGGGTCTAACCTTCAGACTATGTGAAAAAGTAAATACCTGCTTCAGTTGATATCAGCTCTTATTTCCGATATTAAAATAGGTTGTTATGTTTTACGTAACAGTTCCTGTTCGAGTAACCTCTTCATCATAATTAAAAATATTTAAAAATGGTAAATCTTTCTTTACTTCTTTTTCTGTTGGAGCTCCCTCGAAAATGTCGCATCACCCTGTCGGCTTTCCATTCTATTGGCTTGTAATCTCGGCGACACATCTGGCATCTATAGTTATAAATATCGGACTTTCTCTTTACTGCTCAACGTTCATGGTCATGAAAGAATAAGACAAACATTAGAAATAAACATTTAATTAAAATAACCTTTCTCCTTTCCTGCCATGAACATTGAAGTGCTACAGAAAAACTATTAATATAATCAGGTTTGAATCATAATCAGCACAAAACTGAAACACGAATAAACGATCTCAAACAACTAAATGCATGGAAGTCACAAATATTATTTGTACGCACTGTTCTTTGGCTTGCCGATTCCTGGCGTACGATATTACAGTAACTCTGTTTTGTACGGTGATGCCCGAAGAATTTTGATATAGGAAAAAGCTCATTCTGCGAGTATGTAATGGCCGACAATGCGTGCAGAGCAAAGATGCCGCTTGAGTCATACATAAATTATACCCCGCTTCCCACCCAATATATTGCGAAATAGGGTCGCGAATGTTTTCTTTAACAAAGAAACAAAAAATCAGAAATCCTTTTACAACATTGTGTAACAGGTGAATTTCAGCTCCCCGCGATAGCGAAGCTTCGTTAAGAAAGGTACAATCACAAATTTAAAGCTTAATCAACAAAAGTCATTAAAGAAGGCTCAAATATTATATAACCATAGAAAAAGCTAAGAGAGAGAACTACAGAGATAGCGACAGTGATGTGTAGTTGCTTTAACCGAACAGAAAGTCTTGAATACTGTTCAACGTGCAACTTTGAGTGACTTCCCGACAACTAAACCCCGAAACTTCATTTATGGCAGCCGGTCCGGGTAGGACTCAGCAGGGAACATTTTTTTTTCGTATGATACGCATGAAGATGAAAATGAGTGCTGAGACACGTATTCATGAGCTAAAGCTGCCATAAGATAAGCCAACAATTGCGTTTTTTGTCGTGTACCCAAATTACTTGTCTGCTGAATATTTCGTGTTTTTTCCCGACCTAAGTACTTTTCTCAGTTTATTTTTTTTTTTGCTTTGCAAATCGTAAGCTGTCTTTGTTTTATTGTTTTCTATTTTTCTCTCCTCTGTTAAGTGGCAGATCATCGCCTCTCTCTGAAAATTATCGGTTAGGTTTTTTTTTCATTTTGAGTATTCATTGACGCCTATCACTTCAGCACAAGCCATCACTGCGACGCTTGCTTAAAACTATCAAGAAGCAGTGTGAGGGAAGCGTATCATTGTCTTGCGTAACGTTACGGAAGGCTAGAATCACGGCGCGCATAAGCACAAAAGTGGGCATATGTCACGTGGTATTCAGTTCTTGTATTTCGTGGATATACGCATTAAATAAAAAAAACATCAGTACTTATTAAAAATATAGTTTGGAAACTTTCTAATCAGACCATTTGAAAACCAATCTGCAACTGTCTGGTTGGAATTTTTTACGTAGCCTAATTGCCTCAGAAATGAATGAAACATTGGTAATTTAGCTGTTCAGTAACAACAAAGTAAATGTGTGAATTACAGCTGACAACATTCAACAGCATGCACTTGGTTACGTCAGCGTAACGGTGGTCGGCATACCTTTAGGCTCATTCCAGAGATGGCTGGGGCACCCTCTATGTGCCCGCACGAATGCTTACTGCAATTTCACGGCCAGCAAAGTAGCAAAACTTTCATTTCGTAGTCACATTATTGCTGTCACATGAATCATGAATCGCCTTTCGGAAGAAACAGCCCGACACAGCTGAAAAGTACTGTTTTCCACTTCAAACAAGCTTGCCTTTTTGCAATGCCACTACGGACCCATTGAAGAGGTGTGCTACAGACAAGCACAGGCGCAAACCTGTGTATTTGTTTCATCTTCTCCACAGTGCTCGTATACAGTTTTAAAGTTGAGTCACGCGACAAAAAAGTTTAGACCAACGAGCCAACCACATGCAGTGTCAAACGCACCCTGTTTTTTAGTATAAAGAGCAGCGTCTATGGTTTTAACATCATTGAAGTTGAAGTGCAGTAGCTGTGCTCGTCGTCCTCTGAACAACTGACAAAACTGAGACGTATAAGTGAACATCAACGAACCCATGGAGACAGTCTAACGACCTGCTCATTAATGAAAAGAAAGCTTTTCCTTCTGTATGTGTACTTTTTAGTTGTTCACTAATTCTGCGGCTTCTGACACTTGTATGTTTATTTCGCATTTTTCGGGTGCGCTAAAATTTCCTCAATCTTTTGCAGCCTTGCCAGTTTTCAGCATACCTACAAAATACGCAACATTTTCTTTTCTTTTATTTTTTTGATACCTACAGCAACGTGGCAAAAGCTGTAAAATAAAAAAAGCATAAGACATATGCGGGGTATCTTTGGTAGGGTAGGAGGCGTGCGCTGCGGGAGGTAAGGGCGGCACTGAAAAAGTTCAATCCCAGGTTAACAATCCCAACCGCAGTTGCAAAGGTCGTGCCAAACGCGGCGTCAACATTTTCGATTGATCATTATCAGCGCCGCTTTTCGGCGGCTGTGAGTTCCGGAACTCCCAATTTAAACGCTGCCGCCGGCACCGTGACAATGTTCTCGCAAAATTGAGGCTGAATCGGTGCCCTGGCGGGCCGTTTTTTCATTCGTCTGATGTGCGTCTCCTCAACAGTGAAAGTAGTGAGCCACGTTTCAATTTTTTGTAAGATTTGGTTTTGCGACAATTTGCCACGCGTTTAATGATCATCATTAGTGTACCATGAAGTCAAATACAGATACTATGGTTTTACCGAAAAATGCCCAGCAACTCTACACTTAAGAAATCATAGATTGGTTTCATTAAAGCTGTCCATTTCAGTATACTAGTGGACCGTCATGAAATTTTTAATTCCTACAAGTACGAGAAGTCTTATAGAGTTTCTCTTCAATCTGTAATCGCTTTGTCTGTTTTATTGTTCCGACGAGTCCACATGAGGCAGGGATGTTTGGTACGGCGTAAATAGGTTACGTCGTGCACGCGTCATCAATTTCAGCACTTCCGTTCTACTTTTTTCTGATGCATGATTTGCTCTCAGTGCAATAACAAGCGCGTGCGCGGAAATGTAGTGGCCTGTCGCGGCGGCCGTTGCAACTATGCAGCTCATAATGCTCAAATCTGCCAATGGCACGAAATTCGACAGTATGAAGTGATTATTTTGGTTTATGGCTTCATTTGTAGAAAGAAGAGGGAACAACATTTTAGTTTACCGAGAAGTACTTGCAACTTCCACGTTGCGTGCTCTGTTTGGCTCGCGACGTCATTTTGACGCCACGCAGCTTTTATAACTCTCGACACAAACGAGAAACATGGATTGCGTTTCGCCACAATGACTGCTGCTCCTGGAGATCCGCTTTTAGACGCATATCTCTGAGGATGTGTGCGAACTCTAACCACGTTAGCCCTTGAATTAGGTTTAACGCAGCCGCCCCCTTGATTGATTGATACGTGGGGTTTAACGTCCCAAAACCACTATATGATTATGAGAGACGCCATAGTGGAAGGCTCCGGAAATTTAGACCACCTGGGGTTCTTTAACGTGCACCCAAATCTGAGCACACGGGCCTAGCAGCAGCCGCCCCCTGACGCCCGTGGAAGGTTGTTGCGCATTTGCTGTATCGCTCGTCACACATCTCACTACGTTCATGCGCACGCTCAGACTTGTCAAGTTTGTTGAAGGGTCATGTTGAAAGTTGAAAGTTGAAAGTTGAAATTTATTTCACCACAACAATACACCGTGATTTACACAAACAAGAAACAATTGTGGCATGGAAGTAGGAAAAAAGCTGCGCTATAGCAGCTTGACTAGCCCCACCTCCCATTTGTACAAGGCAACAGAAACAATGGCACACCAACTCCATACAGTGCTCACGTATGATTGAAAGAAAAAAGAAAGGACTTCCGGAACTCCCAATTTAAACGCTGCCGCCGGCACCGGGACAATGTTCTCGAAAAGTTGATGCTGAGTCGGCGCCCTGGCGGGCCGTGTTTTTATTCGTCTGATGTGCGTCTCCTCAACAATGAAAGTAGTGAGCCACGTTTCGATTTTTTGTAAGCTTTGGTTTTGCGATAATTTTCCACGCGTTTAATTATCATCGTTTGTGTACCGTGAAGTGAAATACAGATACTATGGTTTTACCGAAAAATGCCCTAGAACTCTGCACTTAAGGTATCATAAATTGGTTTCATTAAAGTAGTCTATTTCAGTATACTAGTCGACCGTCATAAAATTTTTAATTCCGACAAGTACGAGAAGTGTTATAGAGTTTCTCATCACGCTGTAATTGCTTTGTTTTCTCGTTCCGCCGAGCGCACATGAGTGAGGAAGGGTTGGTACGGCTTAAATAGGTTACGTCATGCACGCGTCATGAATTTCAGCACTCCTAATCTTTTTCTTCCTGATGCATGATTTGCCCTCAGTGCAATCACAAGCGCGTGCGCGGCAAAGTATTGGCATTTCGCGGCGGCCATTGCAACTATGCAGCTCATAATGATCCAATCTGCCAATGACACAAAATTTGACAGTATAAAGCGATTAGTTTGGTTTATGGCATCACTTGTAGAAAGAAGAGCGGAGAATACTTTAGTTAACAGAGAAGTAATATTAACATCCACGTTGCGTGCTCTGTTTGGCTCGCGTGTTCCAAGAAGTCACGGCTACCCATCCGCAGGGTTTTCTGACCATGCTCAAAAGGTGCTGTAGAGTGCCCTTAAAGCAGCGTTAAGTAAGCCCGAACATAAAATATTCCATCGTGTAGCCCTGCTCGCATCGTTTCTGTTTAGGAACAATGAAACTTCACACAGTTGTAAAAGGCTTCAGTGAAGAAACTATATTCTTCAGAACACATAAACTTATGATATGTTGGTTCGAACGCTGGTCCGATTCTTGGGGAGCTATTCTCAGGGGGTTCAACTCGTCGACATGTCCTATTTGGCCTCCACTGATTGGCTGGAGCTGGCGAGCAGCGTATCGCCTGTTTCCGGCCTTTCTTCCGCGACGTCACAACTCTCGACACAAACGGGTAGATGGAATACGTTTCGCCACAACGACTGCTGCTCCCAGAGATCCGCTTTAGACGCAAATCTCTGAAGCCAGGCGAGAACTCTAATCACGTTAGCCCTTGAATTAGGCTTAACACGGCCACCCCCTCACTCCCCTGGGAGGTTGTTGCGCATTCTCTGTATTGCTCGTCAAACATATCAACAAGTTCACACGCACGCTCAGACTTGTCAAGTTTGTTGAAGGGTCATCTCCACTTACCCCCGTATTCTAGAACGTCGCTTCACTCAACGCTTGACCTTCAGTTTAGGAAGCCGATGGGAGCGCCGTCTCTAGGCACGGCAAGTCACTGCATTTCAGCGATAATCTGCTGCGATTCTTGAGCAGCGCAGCGTCATTTTCAGCCGAGTGGTGGCGCAGTGCTCAACTCTATCAAGTGAATGGTGGAAGTTGAGTCGAGGAGCGTTTGTGAATACGGGGGTTAGTTTCTTTGTACGTTCAAAATGTGCCGGTGAGTTCGGTGCGTCGACGTGGTCAAGAGCGTCATAACGTAACGGCCCACCGTATTTTTGCGTGACTGATAGCGCTCCGAAGAACTGGACATGTTCACAAATTGCAAACCGCGAGAATACCTTCCTGTAAAGGTGCTTGCATTTATATTGAAATTAAATGCAACGAGCTTGAGTAAAGGTTTCGTTCAGACGTAACTCATGAAGGCATCTCTAGCGGCAACAAGCGCAAATTTGAAAGAATGTTTCGTGCTGCTCGCACAGGGGAGCAATCACGGAACGACGCGTTTTTTGAGGCTAATGCCTATCGGGCTTTTCACGCTTGGACAGTCGTAAAAGAAATGGTTCGTCATACGTTATCAACGCGATCAGCCAGCCGCGATTGTTTGACGAAAAAAACTGCACAGCATAAGGCATGTCTCCGCGATAACACGCCTGCAGCAGCCAGGACTGCAATCGATGCGTTCACCTGCTTCAAGCTGCCGCCGATTTTGCAGCCGCCTTAGCCCGAGGGTGATAACTTGTGGCCATTTAGTGAGCGAAGCGGACCGCGCAACACGCGTGAAAAATCGTTCAACGGGCTCGTCACTTGCGTTGCCGCTCTCGCGAAGAATTCGATATGGCCACCTTCGCCTGAGGGTGCACGAAGTCTTGGGAAAAAAAAAGCCAGCACGTTAGCACTGCGGTTCTCTCACAGCTGCTAACAATTACATATCTTTAAAAATCAAACAGAAATAATAACACCTCAAGTAAAGAACCAAACCCCGGCGTTGTTGTCGCTGCTGGCGTCGTCTGCTCCCGTATTCTGTCAAGTCTGCTGCCATTGCCACTTTGGCGATGGTGACAGCGCACGACGGTGGCGGCTCCTAAAGTATGCATGATGCCTGATGTTAGTGCGTGTTTAAAAACCTCACGTGGCTTGAATATTTCAGAGCCCTCAGCTTTGTGATCTCTCATAGCGAGACTTGCGTGAGACACTATGTAAATCCCATGAACCTACGAAGTAACGCATTAAGTCTTTTCCTCTATACTTTGATGTACGCGCGAACGAGTTCAGCTTGTCGGAATGCTCGAAACTATTAAGGAGCCTTTGCCGTCATATACGAATTACCTGCTCTTTATGTCTACAGTGTAACAAGGTGTGGGAGCGGACTAGTTGGTACTTCATGTCTTAAACAGCCAAAGCGTAAAAAAGGGTAACACCGGACTAAGACAACAACGGGGACAAGCGCTAACTTCCAACTTAAATTTTATTTCAGACCACCAATAAGATATACCTATCAAATGACATCACAATCAAATCAATGAATGTACACCAATAAAAATAAACTCGAAACAGCAGCGAATTTACAAGAAAAAACCACGTGCCGGTGAAACCAAGTAATCTAGTTCTTATTTTTTTGTCAGTGCTATGGATGGCTTGCTGACGCCACTGTAGTTGGAAGTTAGCGCTTTTTTCGTTCTCTTGGTCCGGTGTTACCCCTTTTTCGCGCTTCAGCTGTTCAAGATATAATGTAACGTACGGCCACAAGCAAATCAAATGGTAGTAAGAAATAACTACGTAAAATGATTTTCATGGGCTATTACTGCAGATAACTACCTCAGAATGATAACTACGGGGCTTCTAGATAGTTCGATACCTCATATAAGCGTGCTAGCTTAAACAAGAGCATCATAACGTTTTTTTTTAAACCCGGACGAGCTGTATTTCACCTATTTATGACTCTACATCACTCAGGTTGTTAGGAGTTCATTGCCCTAGCTGTGAAATGAAACACGGTACCACTACATATGAAAGACCACATTATCCCGGACCCAGCTGGCATGGATACAAACATAGGAATTGATCTCAGGCATGTAAATTACAAACAGGTTTCTCATTAAAATGTGCCTGCATCATGCACCTTAGATACCCACTCATGGTTATTGCACCTTCGAATAATTAAACTGGGTCCCGATAAGGCATAACACTTTTCTTCAAATTGAGTTGCGCATTAGGTAACGTGATTTCTTGTACACAGCTAAACCTTGCAAACTAAGTATCTCACCTTTAGTACACCATTTAGAAGAACGTTCCCGTTGTTTTCACCAGTTGCGCGCAGCCACAATCGCTTCTCGGTCCACCAGTACTTGAACGGTTGATGCACGGCAAGGCATCAATATTCCAGTCTACAGACAAATAGACATATAGACATGCTTTCTTGCGCGGTTACAACGACAGCACCATTTTGCACAACGCGCAGACGAACACTGACGCTGAGGCCGCCGAATGCTACCGCCACTGTATGATGCGTTATCTTGTTTATCAAAAAGACGCTTTGTCACCGCAGACCAGACAGACGGGTGACGGTCACCGCTCTCAATACTAAACGCTGTGTCACTGCTCGCCTGCTAGCAGTAACCATGGTAACGTGTCAACGAGAAAACTTGATACGGACACGTGCGATAAATGTAGTCGCCTAAAAAGCCGTAAGTTTCAACTCGACGGCTTCTTTAAGTCTTCCTCGATTACGGGTTGCGTCTACAGAAAACTATCTATCTGTCTCTGGCCGTGTGTTTCCTTTTTGAGATTAGTGGTCCACTCTGGTGAGTACCTGCACTTTTTCAAACTCGCAGCGCATACCTGGTATAATAGTTTAACAGCAGATTTGTCCTAACAGAAGATCGCGGTGCACCGTAGATAAACAATATCTCCATCATGACCTAGCATGTGCTCATTATGTCCCCGTGATTTCACAGTGAGCGCCTGACCACTAGACTGCCCAGGCACGCTAGAACAGTATAGTATGTATAGCTTTGTTTACCATCGTATAACAAATGGAGGCAAAGCAAAATTAGAGTGACGGCACGTGTAGAGTGAGGACAAGAGAAAGAAGGAAAAAATAAGGATTACAGAAAACAATAGATAGCTAGAAAGAGAAAGCGAGAAATGAAATAAATTAAAGCAAGGAAGAGAGCCGCAAAAATAAACTTAAATTAATAAATAAATAAAAATAAACTTAAAAGATATAGGCTTAAATTAGCAGCTAAACTCGATATTTTTACACATTGAGCCACCCTCCAACAAAAATCTCAGGATTACAATGCGAAGTTTATAACAATTTCCTGCATATTTTCTCCCAATATTATGTCCTACAACACTCATATTTGATACATATTTAGAAAAACTAAAGGCAACGAACGTTTTCGCCTACAAGCAGTGTATTAGAACGCCATGAGGAGAAGCTATACCTACGTCAAGTCCTGGTGCTCAACAGAGAAACTTTACTAGACCAAAGAAAAGCTATAACTCTTCTAGCTAGGTTCACCAATAAGCATGTTTTCAAAAAGACGTATGTTGCCACCGATTCATCCTTGTGGTGCCTCATAGTGATAGGCCACCACTGAATTTCATTCGGTCTTGACAAGCTCTCCTTTCGCAGTGGTTCCGGAGTGAATAAATGTCTGCTTTCATATGTGCTTCACATTCGAACCTAACGACGCCTTTTTATATGAATCATTGCACTGATAGTGATTTGCTTTTTGGTGCCTATTGCCTCTTT